TGAGTTGTGCTGGGTAAATGTCACATGAGACTGTATACCAAAAGACGTCAACACCTTTGTGGCCACTCTAAAGATTTTACAACACTTAAAAAATTATCCAACTTACTGTTATCCTCTACTGGCACAACCTCAAAGTCATTTCCTTTAGAACTGACTTTCTTTCCCTCGTTGTCCAGTGTCGTTTTGGCAGGTGCGCTATCCTCCTCGCTGTCTGTGCTGCTCTCACTTTCTTCGCTGTCGCTATCTTCCTTATCACTCAATCGCTTTTTTTTCGCTTGTTTAGGTTTTTCGCCGATCCCTCTTTTGGTCCCTTGCTGCTGCTCACCCAAATCTGATTCAGAATTTTTTTCTAGGATAAAAATACATTTCGACACTTAATTGTCAACCTTTACGCCAGTTGAATGAACATACACATAAAAGCAACTCATTTTTTCCTGCTTTAAAAAGTTTCAAAGCTTACGTAAAAAAAAACCTTCGTAAAAAGCACAGACACTGTGTTAACATACACGGTGGCTATAACTACAACGATATTGCTACCTTCGAAAGTTAAAGACATCATCTTAACTGTGCGCGCAGAAGATATCATGTTTAGGAGCTGGGAGAAACTCTACTATTTCGTTATTGGTTGTATAATTGATTGTGGTAACACCTACCCAAGATAGTTCCTCCTTGCTTCTTATACAGTTCCGCCATCTGGGAAATCTCCAGGTCTTCGTCGGCATCGTCTTCCAAACCTTTGAACGCATCCTGCCACATCAAACAGGTATTCAGTAAAGTTAACTTAGGATTCGGTCCGAACACGAGCGAAGTGTCTCATCTCGCCCTATATTTGTAACAAGAGGGGACCAGGACTATTGGTAACCTTATTCAGAAAGATCAAATATGACTTTTTTGTACCTTTTCAAACCACTTGTTTGCCTTGATCGTAAGAGGAACTTCAGGTTCCAACTCTACCAAGAGTGGGTTCTTGTCCCTAAAGAAAACACAGTTCAAGTCATTTCTACCTTGAAATTAACTTACCACCATTCAAAGAGACTACTCAATTTCTTTTTAGGTTTCAGCTTCAAGAAGAAACTCAAGTAAAAGCTCTTGACGACAAACCTGCAGAGCAACAGCAATCTAAATGTCCTTACAAATTGAGAATACAAATTTTAAAAAACTATGGAAATAAACCTTTGTTGCTTCGCATTGCTGTCATCCGCTTCACCATTTTCTTCTTCAAATTCTAATTCTCCCTCCTCTCCTTCATCATTTTTGGAATCTTCATTTTTTTCTTCATCATCTTCGCTATCGTGATCCGATTCAGAATCTAACTCCTGTTCACTTTCGCTGTGATCTTCATTGTCTGCTTCGTTCATGTCTGCATCATCCACATTATCAAGATGCTGCAACAAAGAAATTCATAATATAATTGTAAAATATAGAATATTTTTGTTTAAATAGGACAAACTTCGATACGAAATTCGAAAAGGGTGAAAATTAAGTACAGGAACAACGACGTTAAAAGATGGAGGGCATTTAAACGGATCAACGAAATTATAATTGACGACTGCTGCACAGCTAAGGTTTTGGGATAAAATCTACTGTCTTTTATAGGTAAAACAACAACGTTTGTATATGAAGTAGTCTTCTCGTGTGCTCACTCTTGAAAGGTACACTAACCATTGGCAATCGAAGATAAAATTCGTGTCTCCGCAAGATCGTGTAATATCTTACGGTTATATCTTCCCATGTTTATACTTGACGTTTTTCTTCCTAATTTGACGTTACCACTGAAGGGCGCAGACATCGAAACCTAACATTGTGACATATCTCTAACTTTTGACATAATTTCAACCAATACCTGTTTACTCTTGATGTTAGCTAGAGAAAACATTTCCATGTCCGTCTCCATGCCTTTAGTGTCTCCTGGTATAATCATTTTTAACTTCATCTTTTCCTGTAACTTTTGTCTCTGCTTCTGAACTTTCCGCTTTTCCCTGGGAACAAAAATATGTAGGATTGATCATTTACAAGGCTAATACACATTTTTCCAGAGTCTATCCGAGGTATTATTTTCATTTTCCAGACTTAAGGATGTGAATCAGATCACATGTTAGGAGTTAGGCCCAAAGTTGGAAATTCACCAAGTGGACGACTCACAATGATGTGATTTTACGTAGATTCGTTGTACATTGCACTGTCAGTACCAAAGGAACGTATAGACATAAGTACGGAGAATGTGGATACTGATGTTACGGCATAAAAGGTTAACAGCACAATACCTTTTAACATTTGCAATCTCTTCATCTTTTAATCCTTGAATCGTCTTTTCAATAATTTCCTAAAAGAGTTTATTACAAATTAATAACGTTCCTGAAAGCTTTTATATTGATCATTCTACTTTTCACTTTCAGGCATAA